TAAAACCCTATCTTAGTGAAGGGGAAAAAAAAAGTGACCAGTCTACAGGCAAGTTAGGGTCTTGAAAAGAAATCTGGGAACTAACATGGTGCTTGCCCTCTGCAAAGCTGTTGGCCAGCACCAGGGATGTATGAAACTGGTAACTGTTAGGTCTGAGGCTAAAGGCTAATCATGCCATAACCTACCTGCAGTAACTTCATTCTTACAACTGCTATAGAGGAAATGGCAATGTGACTACCAGGAGCCTGTCTGGGAATCTCTAATCCTCTAACAGAATCTTCAGGTATCTGGGTTTCATGAGAATGACAGGTGTCATGGTCATTTTTCCAAGGAAGTTACAGGCTCAAGTTGGCAGGCTCCAGGGTAACACAAGCCTACCATTAGCAGGCATATCTCCAGCCAGTAGAAGGGTCCACCATAACTAAATGTGCCCTTCTTCTCCCACGTCATCAGAATAGCATATTCCCTCCAGAATTCCCTCCACCCCTGCCACCCTGGAATGAGAGACAGATTGCACAAACCTCCCCATTTCCTCTGAGATTTATAAAAAAAAAAAACAGGAGTCATAAAAACATATACATACAAGTATATGAACTGAGTAAGTTGTATTTATATATTTAGAAATACACACACATATATGATACACACAAACATATATATGTAACAACATTTTTTAAAGAGGCTATGAATTTGAAAGAGAGAAAGGGGATATATGGGAAGGTTTGGAGGGAGGAAAGGGAAGGGGGAAATAATGTAATTATAACATCAAAAGTATTTAAGAAATTTTAAAGAGGAGTCTCACTCTGCCTTGGGTCTGCAGTCTGCCACACGCTGTCTGTCTATTTGTACGTCTATGCCATTAGTAAGTCTTCTAATAAATCTCTTACCCAGAAAGATATTTGGCCTCAGCACCCTTCTGAACCCCACATCTCCATTCTACCTCAGTGCCCACAATGAACCCCACATCTCCAACATTTCAGTAACTTAGGAAAGTCTTTAATAAAGCAAAAAAAAAAAAAAAAAAAACCTTGGGGATTTGTATGGAGTACTTTGGCCATGTCCCTATGTGTCATCTTTTCAAACAAACAGTGACCTATCTCAAGGTAGACATTTCTCACAGTTCATGTATTTCCCAAGAAGAAATGGTCTTGAAGACATGCAGGAGCTGATCTGTCGCTACCACTATATGAATCTATGGGAAGCCCAGTCTCAGAGATCCCTGGCCTTCCAAACACGTACAAAGAAGAAATGAGAAGGTGCCAAGGACTCTTTCATTCTCCCCCCCAATTCATTTTGTGATTACTATCTAACCTAAGATAATCATGGGAAAGCTACCTTGCCTGGCTGGCTACAGGATACACCCTGCTTCTAAAAGGCAATTTGGTATAAAGCAAGTTATATAACCTCTCTGCTTTAGCCCTCTTGTCTGTAAAGTGGAGGTTTTAAAATGCCCTCACAGAGTGGCTGTAAGTGAAATATGAAATAAAACTGTGTATTTATAGATAAACTACGCCACAAATGCAATATGGAATGTAACTGATAAAATGGCGTTCTAGAAAAGATGAAACTGTAGAGACAGTAAAAGACCAGTAGCTGCCAGAGGTTTGGCCAGGCAAGAAGGAATGAGCAGGTAAAGCCCATGGGATTTTGCACATATTATAAACTTACATAACACTCTCAGGGAAGATTGAGGAGTGGGAAGTGTCTGCTTAAGTGGCTTTGGAAATTAATGAAATTTGTAAGACTAAGGGCAAAGAAATTTCATACTCTTATAAAGTTGATTCCCATAGTGGTACAAGTTAGGAATTTTGACACTACTGTATGTGTGTGTGCTGGAATTAAGAGATTAAATAAGCAGATGATAGATGTAGGGAGGGGAACTTCTGAATGAATGAGAATTTCTAGATTAGCAGGTGATCAGGTTAAAATGATCCATGTGGTACGGATTAGAGTTGCAGGCCTTGGTATGAACATAATCTAAGCTCAAAAAGGCAATTATAGAATTATCTGCAAATATGTATTCGTACACATTTTATAATGTATGCTTGTGTGTTCTTGCTCTATAAGCTAAGAGATAGTACACACTAGGAAACCTTGGCGCAACAAACACAATAAAAATGATGCCCAAACCTTGTTTTCTAATGCCAAACTATAGGAAAAGGAGTTGAGGCTCTTAGAAGAATAGCTTGGTTCTAGAACCAGAGCAAGCAATATACAAGAGAAGCATCCTGGAATGCCAGAAAGTAAGGGATTATTCAACACAAACAAAACTCTGTATTACAGGAGTGTGTCAAAGAGAACTGAAAGATACTAGAATCAACTTTAAAATTTTCCAAAAGCCAAAGTTGGAATAATATGAGCAATAAAGTAACTGAGACAGTGCTAGATCATAAGCCAAAGTAGAAAACAATAGTCATGAGTCTATCCTAATGTGCATCAATTCTGACATAGACAAATTCTCAGGACAGAGTAATTCCAAAGCAGGAGACACTAGCAAACACTACCTCAGCTTGGTGGTTGTGATTCACACCAACAGAGACAATGCCCTCAACTCCTGTGGCCTTCCCCTGAAAACACACAGCCCAACTGTATTTATGAGAAAACCTGGACTTGTTCTCATAGAGAAGTGTTGTCCAAAATACCTGATAAACACTCTCCAAAAGATCCAGGTCATAAAAGGCTAAGGGCATCTGAGGACTATCATAGCTAAAGCAAGCCTAAGAAAATGACTAAATAGGGCTGGAGAGATGGACTCAGAGATTAAGAGCACTGACTGCTCTTCCAGAGGTCCTGAGTTCAATTCCCAGCAACCACATGGTGGCTCACAACCATCTGTTGTGAGATATGGTGCCCTCTTCTGGTGTGCAGATATACATTGAAGCAAATTGCTGTATACATAATAAATAAAATCTTTAAAAAAGAAAGAAAATGACTAAATATAATGTGGCTTGCTTGGATGGGATCCTGGATAGCACATAGGCTTGGTAAAAATGGAGGAGATCTGAATAAGCTATAAACACTGACTGTAAAATAGATCACTCAGTCGGGCGTTGGTGGTGCATGCCTTTAATCCCAGCACTCAGAAGGCAGAGGCAGGCGGATTTCTGTGAGTTCGAGGCCAGCCTGGTCTCCAGAGCAAGTGCCAGGATAGGCTCCAAAGCTACACAGAGAAACCCTGTCTCGAAAAATAAAACAAACAAAAAAAAAATGGGTCACTCTATTTGTTCAATAACTTTAATACATATGTCACACTAACCTAAAAAGTCAGTCAGGAATAGTGCGTGGGGATGGACAGGGACATTATTCTATAGTCTGGTTTTCTATGAGTCTCAGCTTCTTCTTTTTTTATTCTTTTATTAGTTCAAATTAGGAACAAGCTTGTTTCA